TGGGCCCACTTAAGCTTGTAGTGCGATTGGGTGTGAAATAATAATTTCCCGCTTGGCATGGCATGTTGCTTGGCATGCTTTTAAATATGGCGCTTGATAGGATAATTGGCATGGATTTGCATAACTAAATGCATTTTATAATTTTAATCTCAATTCCTAGCTCGACGGATTTTTTATTTAGCATGGCGTGCGGAGTATGACTCGTGTATGTCATACTTTCATGTGCTCCAAATCGGATCTTTTTCCAATAATATATCGTCTTGGGCTAGAAATTTATTCGGGCCCAACCATGGATTTTTTGGGCCTCAACAATTAGTAAGTGATTGTACATGTTCTTATTAAAGGGAATTGTAGAGTAAGGGTAGAATAGGAAAGAGAAAGAACAAAAAAACAACAAAATTGATTAAAAAGTATTAGAAAGCAAAAGGGAGTGTAAGTGGAGAAAATGAGAGTGGAAAAACCACCTCTTTTAATAAATTATATCCAACGCCTCATGAGAAATTAACTACTTAAAAATTTTAAGTGAGAAATTTCATATAATGTTTCTTATATAAAATCAACAATTGTCACCCACAAGAAATTTTTCAAGCACTTGAGGACTGGTGTAATGTGCAAGGCATTCACATAGCATCATGAGGGGCTCACTTTTGAATAGTGGAATCCACGTCGCTGTATTAATGTCGAATACAATACATCGAATTGTATACACAAGCAAACTTTCTCAAGAGATACACCACCATAACTGCTTCGCAAAGTTAATAGAGATGATGGAAAGAAGAGTAAGGAAAATACTTCTTTTTTGTTTTTTTTCCTTTTTAAGGGGGTTGGGAATGGGTAGGTAGGCAGGCATCAAAAAGAGGTTAAAGAAAAAAGTAGGGAACGAAATTTGGCATTTGTCATAATAAAATCATGGATAGTTTCAAATCAAAGTTCAAATTAAAGGAATTAGATTGGTTGTTTGCAGTAAAGCTAATCCTACCCATCCCATGTAATGGTCTGAGCTCATGCCTACACAAACTTAAAAGCAACCCACGTGTTATATGGCCTAGTCAAACTTAAAAAAAGAAAAGGGGGGAAAGCAATATAAGCAAGCAGCCAATTCCCTTTCGGCTGTGCAATAGTCGACAGTCCCAAATCATTCTTTTGTGACAGTCCCAAATCATTATTTTTTGCAGCTTCTTCTTGAGTCTGGACATTCTCTCTTGGTAGCATTTTCTCATATCTAAGGCCAATAAGTATTCTTCTATTGGTTTTTTCCTAAAATAAATGTATGCATCTTAAGTTTTTTAATAGTTTAATTTAGTTTTAGATTTGTTGCATTGCATTAATTTGTTTTTTTAGTTTTTTTAGTTTTTTTTTTGTGTAAGCTTTTACATCTGAGGGTAAAACTCAATACGCTCTCCCCGACTAGGTATATCTTTTTATTTTTATGAATGAAATTCACTCGTACCGTCGAGTTTTTAAGGTAAGTTTCGCCTACCTGACTTTTGAATCTCTAACTGTTTTTTTTTTCTTTGTACTCTTGTATCTTCCCAATTTAACTGTCTTGCTTCTAGATACAACCGGCCAACATCAAATCAAATTTAGTGTGTCTTTCATGTATGTGGTTTATTTTGTGATTTGATCTCACTTTGGATGCTCGCTTTATGCTAATTCCTAACAATTCACGCTTTTAGTATTGCTTTACCAAATAATATATAATCATCTTTTGTCCAAGTGACGCAGAAGCAAGCAAAGCAACCCTAAATTGCGACTTTGAGAAAATAAAACAAGAAAAAGAAAAAGATTGTATGAAGTCGGGCTTTGAGAATTAAGAGATGGTACAAGATATCATTTGAAAACCAGTATTCCAAAGGGGGTTTCACTAAAACACCCAAAATGGGGGTTGAAATTATAAAAAAACCCAAGCACTATTTAAACATAGAAACACACCCAAAATCAACCCCAAAGTCAACTTTTTGGGTGTGTTTATAAATGGGTTTGAGTGTGTGTAATGATGGGTTTTGGGTGTGTTTATATGTTTAAATAGTGCTTGGGTTTTTTTATAAATACATGTCTAGGATTGGGTTTATTTATAAATTTGTATATTCGAAATTGGGGGTTCTTGAAAGTTTGAGAGTATGGAGATCACAAGTTCAAAAAAAAAAAAAAGATGGCCGGCATAAAAGTCTGTATCTGCTTAGTTGACCCAATTTCGTAGCCCATACAGGTGTTTTCTTTCTTTAATTGTGTTGAAATGTTTGGGTGGAAGAATCCTTCAGTTGCCTATTGAAAGTCAAATTTGTGAAAGTCAACCAAAAAAGAAGCTATCTGGGTATTTGTCCACACATTTCCTCAAGAATAATAACACCACTTCTTTTTTCCTTCTTCTAACTGTTTTTTTTTTCTTCTTATTTTGACAAAGCTAAACTCTAACAACTCTAATGTACGAGGAGGGAAATCAAACTCGAGTGCAATCGACGGATACATTGCCGTTGGCCAACTAGCCTAACTCACGTCTCCCAATCTTCTAATTTTTTAGCATGACTAAAAGGAGGAAGCAGGCAGACCCAAAGCATCCCAACAATAAGCATTGGTTTATTAGTTTGAAAAAGAAAAATGCTTTTCCCTACACTCAATATATTACAGAAAACAGCTATCAAGATGAAGAATCATTAGCCTACCCAAGGGGTCCTTGGCTTTATGCAATTTTCATTGCTACATTAAAACAAGAAAAATCAGTTGCCATTGTTGGATCCAAATTGAAAATGTAGATTTGAAGCAACTTCTAAGCATCCTTTGATTTATTATTGACTAGAAAGGAAACTCTGGGAAGAAACTACATTAATCTATAGCAACTCCCACAAATCATAGATCCTCTACCTTGTATATGCTCAAGGGAAGAGTAGTGAGTGTGGACGATATTGAGAGTTTCTTGATCGATTTCGGTAGTGCTAACGACTTTGGGAAATGAATAATTCGACTCTTTTCGGGGTTCTTAATCATTCTTCGTAGCCTCTTTCTCTTCAGATTCTGATGTACTAGTCAATTATGTTCCTTGAAGAGCTGAGATTTCATCTCCAAGCACAACTTCAGATCCTCCTCATTTCGGGCCTTGTTCAGCATATCAATGAGATCGCCTACAGCAGAATCCCTTTCGGCCCCCCATTTTTCCCCTTCTTTGGGCCCCTGATCCAATTCAGTTCCCACACTTTGTTCCTTCTCCCCCATCATCTAACTCACGTTTTTTTAAGTCTTTAATCCCTCATCAACAGCATGCTGTATCCTCTTTCTGAAGTTATTGGTTCTCATTGGATTTGATCTCAACTTCAACTTCAACCCTGAGACCATAGCCTCAGTGTCTTCTTCTGTAGTAGCAGTAGTAGTATTATCGGTTGAAATGGATTTGAGTTCAGCTTCATCCCCAATGGACTCCTCCATGAAAGATTTCACAGAAAACACTTCCTCTAAAAGGGTCACATTCTGCGTGTATCGATCAAAAGGTCCATTTCCACTTCGATGTTTCTGTCCTTGTAGTATTCCTTTAACTTGGAAAATCTCCACTCATTAATAGCCACGACATCCTGAAATTAACTCCAATAATTGGAACAGGCCCTTCTCACTGTAAATAGTACAAGAACAAATAGATAGTGCTGCGGACATGCACCTTTTTGGTCAAATGGGAAGATGCACATTATTGAATTGAGTAAAATTGTTCGAAAGTTGCCAGAGTGATGCAACTCGATGTGAATTCCTGAAACACAGCTAACAATTTAAGAAAATCTACATCCAGAACAAAAACAGAGTTTTCTTTGAAGACCCCCAAAAGAATTAGTAACTGAAATGCTCAGGACAGCCAAGTTAATCAAGGCAAAAATGAATTTGAAACATGGAAAGTTCATAAACCAATTATTAAAAGGTGGGGGGATTTTTTTTTCGGAAAAAACATCAAAGTTAGACTACATAACAGAATCTGTGGAAATCTTTGAGCCAATTTCCTTGCATAGGAAGATTTGACTCATTAAATCAGCAAGTATTACGAACTCATGTTCAATTTAGGTCATTGGTGAATTAGACTATAAATTGCCCGAGATTCCAACAATTTTTGAGAAGTCTGACCATAGTATATACATGGTAGAAGAGCAATGCAATTTTCTAAGGAAAACAATTCAAAGACCCGAATTTTAGAGACAAAAAACGACATAGATTACAATTATCAGAAATATAACCAGATATAACAACGGGAGACTGATGTTAAGAACTCACCCTGATGGTGATGCCTCAATTGATTGATGGTCAAATAGAGGAGAGCTTGAGGTTGGTGCCTTGTCTGGAAATGTTGCATTTGATTTCAAAACTGCGGTGGTAATACAGTCAGAAAAGAGAAACCAGAAACAAGGTCATGCTCCAAAAAGGATGAAACACCAACCCTGACTGCTAGAACTACCCATGCCAACCCAAACCGTATGGTGACTCAATGTAGATCAGTTCATATATTTGAGTAAGCAACATACTAAGTTTGCATGTTTGGTTATATCATCAAAAAATTGAACAAAACTGATGAGCGTTCTCTTTTTATAACAAACAAGAATTATATTGAAAAGAGAAAAGGAAAGAATAGAACAAGATGGCAAGAAGTCCATAGGATCAAAAGCTTAAAAGTACAATTAAATCCCTTACAGTGCATCATAAGCAACAGACAACCCACAAGAAATCGTGCAAGCAAATGCCCAAATCAACTCAACATCCTACCCTTATCAAGACACCATCACAGTCATGTGTTGCGTAAATGAGCCATTGATTATTCTGACATGCACAAGCTAATTCACACTTACTGTATGCATACGCAAACTTCCTAAGTGAGCAACTATAATCCAAATGTTACATAACCAATCATGTCCATCGACAACACATATTACCCTTCATGCCTATAAGCATATTGTTACCCACTAGCATGGCCAAAACCAAACCAATAACACACTGGCTCCAGCGTACTCTGGTGGTAGCCAGAAGCCCCACAAATCTCTAATGTTTCATCCAAACATTGCCTTACACAGAAGGCCTTAGTGCTAGCAATCCTGTATTGCTGACAATGTCCATTATGCTTCCAGCATTCGAGAGACACTAAACTCCTCTCATTATTGCCTAGAGTCCACTCTAAGATTCCAACATTGCCTCAGGTATCTTACTCAGTGCACATAAGTGACTGCATGGGTCATGGAAAAGAGTACTACGCACCCCTATGAGAGTTTTTTAAGCTATCAGCCTTCTTCCTTGAAGGAAACATTAGAGTAACCATGTTGGAAAATAATAATTGAAATACGTAAATTGTCAATTGCCAATTTTTCCCCATTACCACTCACCACAACAGTCGATCCATTTTTACTAGATGGCTGCGCAGTCTTTGACACAGCCATCAGCTCATCACCCTTTTTGAACCATGAAATTTTACTACCTAACCTAGCTGGCAAAATTGAACCCTTCAAAAAACTGCAGTAGTTATCATCACTCTTCCCGAAATGAAATTTATTCCCATCCATACCAAAGTCTCTCTACATCAACCATTTCTTAAGCATTTTACTACACTGCCATAGAATAAAAGAACAGATAGCAACCAAATAAATGTAGAAAATTACCAGCATGCATTGCTAGAATTAATTCTAAAGCATTATATAGTCAGTAAGACACATCCAGGCAAGCATTAAAAATAAGTAGGGCAGTATAATTGGACAAGAATTTATGGGACAATGGATGAGCTTCCCAACTAAAAAAGGGAAAACTAGGTTACTTGCCAATACACTTTGAATCTTCACATTAGTGTTGGAAACCATACAGACAATAGCAAACAACCAAATATATATATATATATATATATAATTATCCAATGTTCCAAATACCCATACACTTGAAGGTAGAAATGTTTTGATAAGGTATAGAGACTTGAATTAACATACCATGAGTATGACATGGATTTTGAGCTTTTGAGCAGCAACTCTTGCATGACTCGTATGGACACCTGAACATTCAATCCAGCTCAACAAAATGATCACAGAAAGAAAGGGATATTATTCTAAATGTAGAAACAAAAACAATAAATATTTTCAACAATAAAGGTGAGTGAAAAATACAAGAGTGTGTATGAAGCAAAAAAACAAAACTTCCTAAAACATCTTCAACAATATCAAGGTACAAATCAATCCACTATGGCCTATCTCCTAATGGGGCACAAAGGAGAAGGATCATAACTGATTCTAACAAAGAAAACCATATTAGGATTTGCCTTAGTGAGAGCTGTGAACAATACCCTCAAATAGTAACTTGATTCTTTCTTGCAGATGGTAATGAAGATGGATTATCTCAAGTTTTTAAAAATGCCTCAAATGGTGGTTGAACAAATTTCAGGAATTGCTGAAAATTAAAAACTTGAAAATGAAAAGAAAAAAATAATTATGTTTTTTTATGAAACAAAATTTTATTAAAGAGCTCAAAACACAATGCAAGACACAGTGAATCAGAGGTCCGCCATCCCAAGGAAACAACATGGACCCAAGAATGCCAGATATAGAAGATAACAACACTGTGATAAACTCCAAGTAATTTGCTAGAAGAGGGTACACCTCCTTTCATCTTCCATATCTAAGGGTATTTCTTGTTCTTTTGGTCCAAACAAATAACTTCATATGTAATAACTTTCTGAACGTTTCTTCAAGTCTGTTTAGGATGCATCCTAGTGAAAGATCCCGAATCTTATCTAACGATACCTACAGCAGCATTCTTTGCATACATGATAGATAACTTTCTAATTGCAGAACTTATTTAGTATGTAATGGTTACTGCATCAACTATATTACAATAATGCTTGACGCACCACAATTTTATACCATAACCACCTTATGTGGCAGCTAAGTTATGCATGCCACATCAATTCAGGGCTCATTTGGTGCCTAGGATAGGATTGGATTGGATTAGATAACTCACCAGATTTAAGGCATGTTGAATGAAGAAATGAATAAATTTTGTCCAAGTTGAAGGTAGAAGATGGATCACTCATGAAGGAAACTTATCCCATTGAATCCCCACAAAATGGTAGGATATTAACATGTCATAACTCATCCCTTCTAATGCCCACAAAATAAAAAATCATTCACCTCTACCTTCATTTCCTCCATCAACATGCCTTAAATCTAGTGGGTAATCTAATCCAATCCAATCATAGGACCAAACGAGCATGGGACAGCTGAGTGAGAACTAATTTCATGGTATAAGAAAAGGCGGATGAAATGAAAAGAGATCTAATGTGAGAAAAGTTTGAGACTTGGATCTGCAAAAGGAAAAGAGATCAGATGTCTAATAAACATACATAAATAGATCTAAATCTACTGGTGTGAAGAGACTAGTCATGAACATCCAGAAGCAACCGTATTTGCCATCAAGAAAGCATGAGTTCCGATATGGAAATTCATCAGTGAAAATGAGATATGATCCGCAAATCAGATCTTCAGATGTACAGCACTGAAACAAAAGGTATATGGATCAGACACAGAATCCAGAGGTAGAATCCTCTTGTTCTTTACCACTTTTTATATTTGTTTTCACCGGTAACTGATACCGTTGATGGAAGTCCGACCAGTGGGGGGAGTGAGAGAGGGGATGGATAGGAAAACACTTGAAGGTAGGCCTGAAAATTTTAATTGGTCTTTTTAATTAAAAAGGATTACAAATTAATACCTAGCTAACTCATTAAGTACTTAACTACCGTGGCATGTCCAAGTCATCTGCCACATAAGGTGGTTTAAAAATATGGCATAAGATTGTGGTATGTCTAGCAATATTTACAATATTATGATTTCACCAAAAAATTCCAAAATTTATTCTTTTTATTATTATCACAGGATTCCAAGTAACAGTCAGAAGCATTTTTTCTTCATGGCAATTGCACAGCTCATGAAAGTTTACCCCAACTACCTTGTTTTCAGACCAATAAATGAATGTTGTAACTTGCTTATCTTCCCTACGCCTCCCCTATTTCATTGAGAAGAAGGGGTTATTCTGTCAATTATCAGCTTCATCAATGTAAAGCCCCTACTCATTTCAATCACGTCATAATTGAACCAGAAAAAGTTGTGAACTCCCATCAAGTTAACCTTGTGGGCTCAAGAATAGCATGGCAACAGATTCTACCAAGATCTTCACTTTCCAAAGTTGAAAAGAGGTCTAATTCTTCTCGCAAAGATGCCGTTCGGATGTGGAACATCTGTTGTTTTTTACATTCTAACAGTCCCCTAACATGTGAGCCTTTCCGCCGCTAGAGAACCAAACACGTAGAATTAATTCAACATACATTGAAAGTTTCCAGATGCATGGATCTGAATTCAGCATCTTCAGCTCTAATACAATATTAAGTTACATTGGTTAACTACTCTTCCTAAAGTCTAAAGCTAATAGGACGTAGACCGACTATAATTTGCATATTCTACTAATCATAATGTGAAATTGAAACCACGACTACAAGATGCCTTCTCATTACACCGTGAGGCATAGTTACATTCACGCTTTTGGGGATGATGATCCTTTCTAGAAAGTTTTATGGAAATTGAAGATTCCTCCTAAACTGCACTTCTTTTTCTAGCTTGCTTATCAGGGGAAAATACTGTCTGGTGAGCAAAGAGTTAAGAGGAATCTAGCTGTGGATTCTTCTTGTCAAATTTGTGGGTGGCATACTGAGTCTGTAATCCATATTCTCAGGGATTGTCCTAGGGCTATGGAGGTTTGGGATACTGTTTTGAGTCTTCACTCACCTGCACACTTCTTCCTCTCTGAGCCTAAAACTTGGCTCTTAAGTAATTTGCTTTCCACGGTTAAAGGCCCTGATGGTATTGGTTGGGGTATCCTTTTTGCCTTCATTTGTTGGTACCTGTGGAAATGGCGAAATAGGCAAGTTTTTAGTGAAGAGGAGGGTTTGCCTTTTAATTCCAGAGAAGTTATTTATGCTGCTGTTTTTGAGTGGGTTAAGTCTATTTCTATCCCTGGCCAGAAGCTTGATAGAATGCATATATTTTTTGCCTGGGATCCTCCTATAGTTGGCAAATTTAAACTCAATGTAGATGGTTCTAGGACTGCCACTAGTCTTATTGGAGCAGGAGGTGTCCTTTGTGATTCCTTAGGTGACTGGATTGCTGGTTTTTTCTGTGAATTTGGTTAAGGTGCAAATTTTGGAGGCTGAGATATGGGGGCTGTATTTTGGGCTCAAGCTGCTGTTGATAAAGGTATTTCCAACCTTGCTATAGAGATGGATGCTGCTGTTACTATTTCTCTCATCCAGCAAGTCTATTTCTTGCAATGTCATCCACTTGCTGCCTTGATGCATAGTTGCTGTAGTCACATGAGGCAGATTGGCACTTGTCAGCTTGCTCATATCTACAGAGAGAGAAATTGTGTTGCGGACTGTATGGCTATCATTGGAGTTACAACTTAGACGTGGGAGTTTGCTATTTTGAGGAGGCTCCTGCCTGGGTTAGTTCATTCTTGTTGGATGATTTGTTAGGTCTTGCTAGACCTTGCATATTGTGTGGCGGTTAGGTGTTGTTCTTGGGGTTTCCCCCCCATTTTATCCAAAAAAAATTCCATAGCCATGAGCATTATGCCAAGAAGAAGTATCAGCACAGAATTGAATAGTGAAATGAGCAAACTTCAAAACACAAAACTAGGTCTTAGAAAAGCGTTAATTTCTCAAGAAACAAGATTCAGCTCCAAAGTGATTGAAACCAACATTTATCCTAATTTTAAAACTTCCCCACCTTCTTTGTGATATTGAAACAGAAAACCAACTCTAAAACCCATATGTTCTTTTAAACCCAGAGAAAAAAAAAAAAAAAAAAAAGAGCTCACTTTAGAAAAGCAATAAATGGGTCCTCCAGATTCAATAGCGTCAATAACAACCAAAAAAACAATCACATATTGTAAGCTGCAAAATGCAATTAGACCACAATTCCAATCCCAACTAATCAACAATACGACCAATACAAATATGAATATAATACATAAATATTTTTCTTCTACTTCCCCAATTGCTATTCATTTAGAAATCACAGAAAAAATTAAAAATAAATCCAACGAAAAAAAAAAACCAAGATCAAAGAAGCAACAAAGGATGAACTACAAAGCTAGCAGAGCTTACCTAAACAGTGAATCAATGAAAGCCTTAAGATTTGCACCGAGTAAGAAGTAACCCCAATCGTTAAATCTGCACAAAATCAAAATTAAAATCCGTGGAAAAAGTAGAGGAGA